CGGTTCAGGTGGGTTATTTTATATAGTGCTTAAACAGGAAATTAAAAACATTCACAAAAAAAATCACTGTTTTCATGGTATCTTCCTCCACCATCACATACTCACTGAACGAGCCTCTATTCCTACTCTGCATTTTCAAAGGTGAAGAATGGGAAGGATACTTGAAAGAAGCTCAAAAAGAAAGAAAAAAGCCCTGTGCTGATAGGTTTATTTTTAGATGAATACTTAGCTGTTTACTTTTTCATTTGTGCTTTCTGACTGCCTTCCACAGGTTGTGCAGGGTACCTATTGTCCCCGTCTTTTGTTAGCACAAGCGAATTGCTAGATTTTATGATATCCACACAAGGATGTTCCCTGGTTCAAGCTACTGAAATGCAGTCTAGAACAAAAACAAACAAAAACCCCACCAAACACAAATGCAAAACTCCTTTCCTTGGGACAAGTGAAAATCTATAGTAAAAGCAGGGCTTTATTCAGTCCATTAATAACAATGAAATGCAAAATAACTAGAGCTACTGGGTAGCATTTTAAGTAAATACATTTTAAAGGTACGTTTTCCATCCTGAATTACTTCTGAGCCTACATTTTGAGCTGTTGGTTTACCTATATAGTGACACTGTAATGGCTAAAGCCCTGGAGTCCTCTCTTTTGAGAGGGCTTTCTGTGCAAAGATTCTACACTGCAGCCATAATATTGCTTAAGCATTACTGAAAACATCCAGTGTCCTTTTGGTAAGAACAGCTGCACCTTGGTTGCTGTTGTGAATCAGATGAGGTGCACGCTTTTGATGACAGTCTCCCAGATGTTCCCATTTATTGCACTTTGGTTCAGGTCTTGGAGCACATGAAGGGCTTTTTTTTTGGATGAAACTAAACCAAAGACACACTCCAGCGCACTCCCATGGCTAATGGGTTTTCTACCTGTAAAACCAGATTAAATCTGGTCCAAAACAAGACCCCTGACATGCACACTGTGTGGATGCTGTGTCACCAGAACAAAACATTTCGCTCTGAAAATGGCCTCCGGCTGAACTAGACTACTCATTAGTGTTTATTTAGTGTCTCATTAGACTCACATCAAAAGATAATGACACATTCAGGAGATTATCTGCACAGGTAAATGGCTTTGTTAGTGTAAAGGGCATCCATAGGCATGTTTATGTACCTATTCAGTGCCTGGGGCATACATAAATCTAATTGTTATCTATTGTATTATGTGTTCTAGGTTTGCTAACAGAAATACAATGCAAGTCAAAAAGACTACGGAAAAATGTAAAACAGCCCCCAGATCAGACAGTTAATGAAGATAATGAAGGCCACGACATGAAACAAGTGACATCTACAACTAAAATGTATAGGGTAAGAGAATTCTTGTAATAGTTCATACAGTAGGGGCGATGTTTGAGCGAAATGTGGCTAGTACAGTGAATATAGAATACTTGCAAACTCTCTGGAGCTGTGTTAATTAAAACCCCATCTCCCACCAAGCCAAGAGAATACCTTGAGAAGTAATTCTGATGTTTTTTATGTAACTCAGTAAAAACACCAGTAGAATCCATGAAGTACTTTTTGTCAGGCAGATATCACATATGGTGAGGTATGATATTGAAGTTCGAGCATACCTAGTTATTTGCTAAACATTTCCTTATTTCTAGTAATAAACAACACAAACTCATTCAGTTTAGAAGCATTATACACCTCTCTTTGGCATACTTCTACAGAAATCTTACTGACAAGCAAACCTCTTGTCTGCTTGGTCTCCAAGTGTGAGAAATAGATGTTATAGCTTTTGCCTAAAGCAGGAGATGCTAGATCATTTCTACGACTGCATTTCATGACAGGATTTTTTTTCTTGCCAGTATAGGAGAAAGTAGAATTTACCCCAGAACAGCAGAACCTTCTTGATTACATCATGGATTCATACAGTAAACAACAAATACCACAGGAGGTGTCAAAAAAACTAGTAAGTATGATATTGATTAATTAATTTTTGAGATGTGGATCATGAAGTTGAGGATTACACAGCAGCAAATATTTGTACTTAGTATAAATAGTTGTAGTAAGTAGTAGAGCAAACTATGGGTAAAAGCTTACACTTAAGACATGCTGCAAGTGGGGCAGAATCTCTCCCATTCTGTCAACAGTTAGACCATATGCTTGTTTCTCAAATGCTAAGAAAAAGCTTTCAACTCTGGAAATATACTTTTATGCTCAAATCTAACTTTTGCTGATTGGAGTTTTATTTTTCACATTGTCAGTATAGGCAGTGATTTGAGTTTGACTTGCAGCCAAGCTTCCTTTCTGTAAGAACGGTAGCCTGGAAACTTGAAAATATTTTTTTTTTTAATGAACCCGAACTCACAACATTTTTGTTTCATCCCCTCTTCTTTCCTTTCCCTCTCTACCTTTTAGAAATTTCATTTTCTCTTTAAGAGCTCCCCATTTTCATGGTAGGATGGAAAAAAGGTTGGAAACGGGGAGAAAAAGGGTTTAAAAGAGGTGGGTTTTTTTACAAAACTGTCATGCTCAACCTTAAAAACGAACAAATCCACAACAAACCCCAAACAACTGTAAAAAACTACTTCCTAAGTCATCAGCTTTGAAAACTAAAAGGAGGACACTTGCAGGGGGAGGGATGAATTACCTGTAACTAATATGTGGAACTTATTTCCATGGGAGGTTGAGGAGGTCAAAACCAAAAATACATTAAAAAAAAAAAAATCATGGATAACAAGGTTTTTGGTTAAATATTATGGTACACATTGAACTTCTAGCTCAGGACATGCCTAAATCATTGATTGCTAGGCATGACACTGAAAGTGAGACAGATATTCCATAGGAAAGGACACTGCCTACTTCATTCACTTCTTACATTGCCTTCTACAAAATACCTGATTTTGACAACCACTGGAGACAAATTATAGTATTAGATGGACTTCTTGCCTGATCCAGTCTATAATTCTTGTACTTTACGCTCTTCAAAGTGAAGTGACAATGAGTACTAACAGATTTTGTTTGGTTTGATCTTTTACAGTTACAGGAGGAATTCAGTGCTGAAGGGAATTTTCTGATTTTAACAGAAATGGCTACCAGTCATGTTCAGGTTCTTGTGGAATTCACTAAAAAACTACCAGGTATATCCAGTGTGCTAGTGCAAATTTTGTTACTGCAAAGTTTACATGCCTTTTGGTTGCCATTTGGTTGTTGTGTATATTTTGAAGACTATATAGAAATTCCTCCTCCTCTGATGCATATGCATTCTTCAGACATTGTCTAAAGAAAAAGAACTTTGAGGAACGATATGTTGAATAATTCAGACTCTGCCACCTTGAGATGTGGCACTCTTTACCTATTGACAAAACCAAACAAAAGCTCAGAGAAGGATTGTGTCTCTAGAGAGATTTTATTTGCATATATCACTGCAATGCCAAATAGTCTGCCTCTAAATTGCCACTCACACTTGCCAGACTGCTTCACTGGCTTTGCAGCCTTTCTAGCAAAGTCCCTAGGTCATGACATCCACTGAATTGTGAGTCCTAAACAAGAACTTCCCTAGTTAGTGGCACCAATATTTATGGTCCTTGCATGGTGTGTTATTGACAAGCACTGAAAACCCGAGTTTATCAATCATCAGTATTTTTCTAATGCCCAAGTTCATGTTACCTCAAGAGGTAACGCTGGCCATGGTACAGATTCCTTTTTATTAAGGAAGGTGCATTGTAATGTTTAGCTGTATAAAAACGTTATTTTCCTTGCACTCTCATCATATGGACCCTTCCTCTGTGTGTTACAGGCTTGCTTCAAAGCCTAGCACTGCAGTTGTAACTATATTTTTTATACTAACTGGGGTACTGGCTTGCAGGAAATGAAGAACGGAGGAGCTTTGTACTTGAATGATCTACTATTTTCAGTGTTGACAGGATAGATCTTGCAGGATTTATCACTTTTTTTGTTTCATTATCTGCTTTATCTTCTGCACTTCCTCATAGCATCAGAGTGTGGGTACAAAGTGGGCACCTGCATTGGCAAGTATGAGGAAAGTTTCTGATGATCTTTAGTTCCCCCTTCTTCAGAGGAGCAGGTGTATATTCACACAAGTCACCAAATTTGTCCTTATTTCTTCAGTGAGTTTTAGAGTCTCTTCCCTCCAAAACAGGAAATACATATTTAAAACACATCAGGAAACCTCTATGTGAAACAGTATATTAGTCCAAAGGCAAGACGAAATATTTAAAATTAGATGTTTCAAATACTTTTGCCATCAGAGCATGGAAAGAACAGAAAGCAGCACAGCAGTGGGAAGTAATATAGAAAGCTCTGGTGGAAAGATGGCAGAAGATCTTAGGGAGCAGCATCAGGCTAGACAAAATTCCCATATTAGTTATTCTATGCCACTAAATTTTGCTTGTCATGTTCCTCTCAAAGTACTATGAACACTGAAACAGAAGACTAATTCTCATAAACTTTGTTGAGATCCAAATCTGTGTCATTTTCTGGAATGTGGGTTTCAATTTCCCAACTATTTGGCAATCCTAATGACATCAACACTGCGATTATACAGATGTGTAGCACCTCATGTGCAAGAACTTCAGGATGGAAAGCATGGGGGATTTTTCTGTTGCTGCCTTTCTTATCTTCAACATCTCCCCAGGCTTCCAAACCCTTGACCATGAAGATCAGATTGCTTTGCTGAAGGGCTCAGCAGTAGAAGCAATGTTCCTTCGTTCAGCTGAGATCTTCAGCAGGAAACTTCCTACAGGACATACTGTCCTTTTAGAAGAAAGGATTCGCAATAGTGGTAAGTATCTTGTTTAACGAGGAAAAAACAAGCCACAGCATTGCACTTCTGAGTCAGTAGTTTGCCCTTAGAAAGCTAGTAAAATTGTTTATTAACACTGAAACAGGTTTATCTGAATGGTGTTCTTTATATTAACTAGAAGAAATCTAACTCAGCCTTGAGGCTAAAGGTCATTAAGTAAAGGTTTATTTACAAATACATTGCAAGTATTACAAATAACGCTCTATCAAATCCAGTGCAAGTCTCCAATGATAAGCATGAAAGCACAATGATGAAGAAATACCATAATTTCAATTTATTCACATAAAATATCAATATTTATGCTTTCAAAGGTAATCATTATAAGAAGGAAAGAAAAAAAATTAGGGTGTTACTGAACATGACTGAAGGGAATCACCTGTTCTTAGGGTCATTTTGGTAAAATTGAATCACTGCACATAGTGCATAGAAGAATTATAAATGTGGCATATTCTCAGTATGTTTTCTACTTCTTAAGGTACATCAAAGGCTCAGTGGCTATGATAAATTCTCCTGGTTCTGGACATAAATTTTTATAATTATGAAAGACCAAACAGGGCTGGATATGGTTTGTTCCTCAAAGCAGGCAAAGCGGTGTTTTGCATTGTTAGGTATTCTTTGTGCTCCACTGATGCAATACTGAATGTTTTGCCTTCTTTATATGTTGACCTGCAAACTTTATCCAACCCATAGCTACTTATCATTCAAACTTCAGATGTAGCAACAATTCTGAATCAAAGAGTCTGTCTATAGCTTATGGCCTTCCTTTTTAATGGTCAGAAGGAGAAGACACAAGAATGTTAAACCTCAAGAGTAGAAATGGGCTTGAACTCATTTCTGAAACTCTTAAAACCAGTAATGTGAAGATACTACTGATATATGTAAAATTGGGGCAATTCTTCTATATTTAAAACCTGAAAAAGAATCTTAAGAATAATGCTCTTGCTAGAGGTATGTATTTAGTTTGGCTTAACATACTAATTTCTAAATTTCTCTTTTACATATTTTTTAATATTTCTGTCATTTTGATTTATTATAAGAGGCTATTGTTTGATGTATTGAAAATGGTGACTTCCAGAGTGATATGAATGGCTTCTGATCCAGATTCTGCAGGCAGAGAAGTATGCCAAGAAGGCCAGAAATATGTCCTGGAATCTGTAATGAGTTGTCATGGATCCAGATGTCTTCATTAAGAGATTTTCTTTTGGATTATAACATAAATTTTTGATAAAAATAGGTCTTAGAGAACAGAATCCCTATGAATACGTAATTACTGAAAGCTTCTCTAATCTATACAATGAGTATCACTCTTCTTGCTCAAGGTGTCAACTGTTCATTAAAAAATAGAAGCAGGAAATACTTTGACCCAGAACATTACAAAAGCCATTATGTCATAGCAATAATTTTCATCTTATTCAGACTTTTAAAATAGCCTGTTAATTCTCTGTAACTTTTGAATCCAGATGAGATGTCTAATTATTTTTTGCAAGTTTTCACTAGACTTAAAGATAGCATTTCATATAATAACATGACTATGTGGAATATGACACTGTATCATGCAGTAATATTATTTACCTGTCATGCAACAGATTAAAAAAATATCATTTTGTGTAGAAGAAAATTTTAACGCAAGAAACAATTGTAAATGTGGTACTATTTATTCCAAAGGAAGATTTCCTGCAATTCTTTTTTTCTGTGGTGAAAAAAACCCTCCAAGGTAAATTAAACATGAGTTCTCGATCAGGAGAAAACCTGGGTTGAATAGTTCCCAAGAAATGAAACACAGTCACTTTTTTAGTGCGCATGTATACAAATGTATATATCATTGCTGTTGGAAAAGGCTCTCTAAAACATCTTCCCTCAAGCCAGGGTCAAGTCGGAAACATAGGAGGAAATACTGCTGCTAGAATTTCTCCAGCCTATATTACAGGAGGATAATGTATTATCCAGCTTCCTTGCTTCTGGCTGCATTCTTTCCTTCCATTAATAGCCAGAATACACGATAAAATATCCTTTCCTGTGTATTTCCTTTCTCCACTCTGTGCAAACTCAAGCCTACTCAAAACACATTTTCCTTGGCTGCACTTCATAAGGCTGTGACAGTTAACAACAAATGCAATTTGTAAATCTCTGCGGCAGTGTTAATTTAATTGCTGCTACTGATGCTATTTAACTGTTAGTGCTACTGCACGAACCCAGAAGTCACTCAGAATTTTCAGTCTCTCAGTCTGGGCAGGCATTGCTGCATGCTAGAGTGTATCTGTCAACCTGGCAATGTCCCTTGCATGAAAAGGCTTAAATGTGTTTTTAAACACCCCTCTGCCTGTGGTTTCAGTACTGGTAACTGCCTGTTGGTTAGTGGTATCTCTCCCTTTGCACTAAAAATGCAAGTAGATTGGTTTATAAAAGGAAGGATTTTTACTAGGTAGGTTTGACTCTTCCATGCTTCCCAAGTGTATTTCTCAGTGTTCACTGAATTTTCATAGGAATCCTGTTCATCATCACACAAGCTACCAGAGTTTTTTGTTTCAAGAGCCCTCATTGGTGCAATTTTTCTGTGCATTTTGTCTTAGTTTAGGGTAAATTCCAGAATTATATTCAGGCAAATCAAATAATTTCAAATTGTTTAAAAAATATTAATACCAAGACAGGTTATTTTGTGGTTTAAATCCTGGTCATTGTCAGGTGTCCTGAGTTTAAACAAAACAAAAGAAAGTCATTCAAATTATTCTGTTATCATTGCTTACACAAACAGCTTTCAAAAATATTAAATATGCACTTCACGCCTCTGCATGTCATAGGGCTCTAGGTTTAATAATAGCCTGTGCCAACTGTGATACTAGAGTAGAAACTTCAGCAGCCTCTTGCAGCCTTAACCACTAAGGACAAATGCTACTAAAAGCTGCAGCTGCTCCTTACCATGTTATAGACTGGCCCAAGAGCTAAGACTGGCCAGAAGAGATTAATCCCAAGATAAAGAAGAAAGCGCTAAATGCAGCAAACTGAAACACCCTGAAATGACAATAGAGAGCAGCAGAGGAAATACAGTGACAGTTGAGTGAAAGTTTAGAAAATAAATTTATAGGTAATGAATAGCTCTTAGTGAGGTCCTAAACACTGTCAGGCCACCAACCATATATTATTGCTCTTAGTCAGATCTTCTGTCCATGTATTTTTTTGGTGCAGACATATGTCTGAATGTCACATAAGACCTATTGTCAAGCCTTGATGTCTGCATCCATAAAATCAGGGAGGGCAGTGGAGATGAGATCCTGCCTAAAAGTCACAAGCTGTCCAGACTTCTGTCACCTGCCACCATGTCACTTTGAAGCTGCTCTCACCTATTAATATTTATGCCTTCTCCAGTCTAATTGTATGGAATGGATTTTCTTTTTCCCTTTCTTTTCTGATAAAGAAGCCAGAGATCTGGTGATGATGACCTTTGAACATTAGCAAATTCATTTTTATTCTCATGCTGATGAGGTGTATTTTTACGTCCTAGCTTGAGCATATTGCTCAAGTTCTGGTGCATCTCAGGGACTGCCTTTTTCTGTGCTCTGGTGGTCTTCCTTCATAAAGTGTTGTGGAAATTCTTTCATTAGCTTTCATTAGCTCCTGAGACTGGGATCCTCTTCTACTCTCTCTAATACTGAGACTTAATGAGAAATACAGACATTTTATTGAATGTTAATGACAGCTTATGCCACTTACTCATCTTGATGCTTCACTACGCATATACCATGTTGTGACTGGTTGACACATTCTGTGAAAGGCTGACATCCTAGTAATTTAATACTTAGTTTCTTTGTGTTATTTTGAAAGCAAATTATCCCCATTATAGAGCAGTACATTATTTTAAAAAGCAGTGCTGAGACAATGTTTTCTCAGTGAGCATTTATAGCTTCTATTCCTACAATATAGTTTTCAGCAGTCATGAAGAGACACAGATCTTTATTTCATCATTTGATTCTATGAAACAGTTCTATTAATTTCAGTACTGGGGAATAAGATACTATCTTGTATGAACAGGAACAGAAGATTCTGGATCCAAATTTTCAGTTAGCAGCAGGGCACCTGACATAGTGAAATACACTTTTGTCTTCCTGGATGTGTTACAAGTGCTGAAGAACAGTGAGATCCAAGGAATACAAGAAATCACCGCAATTTTAATGCATTGGCAAGAGGTCCCCTTTTGCCCTTAAATGTGGGATATAAAGTTCCCATTTATTTGGACAAGAGGCTCCTGCAACCAAAGGCAAAATTTGGAACCAGAACAGTGGATACCTAATCACTTCTGTTGCCTTTTGCTTTTATTATTTGATTATTAGTACTGAGTAACAATCGTGCTTCAAAACCCCATTGTGCTGAAGTGTGCGCAAAACACCAAAATGAAACTATCGTCTTCACTGCCAAGTCTGAAGTGTCTAATGCACCAAATGACCACATGCATCCACATGGAAGGAGACACCATCCTGGAACCTGACCCAAAACTAGCACAATGCCCAAAATATTTAGAAATTAGGAACACTTTAAATTGCAGAGTACAGGAGAGAATTTTTCTGTTTGCATACAGTCTTGCACAAACTACCACGCTGAGCTATCCAGTGCCATGTTCCTGAATTACTAATGAAGTTGCTAAAAGTGTTTAAATCCTATCTACTGAGTTAATTTATACCCATAAAAACAAGAACAGATGTCAGGGGATCCAATCTCTTCCACGTAAGTGTACTGCTGCAGGCCAAAATCTTAGTTAGACTTGACCTATATAGTCTAGCTCAAGGCAGCACAGGTGCTGCGGCTGTGTGCTAAACCGCACTTCACTCCTGACTGCAGCCACTCAGGCCACTGCCAAAGGGTGGTGTCTGGCAGTGTGACAATACCATTTGCATCCTCCTTGCAGGTCTGGTTTGTTTGTTGTTTGTTCTTTTTTTAACTGAGGATTCTTTGCTTTCAGTGATGGCTGCACAGTGGTCCTGATTGCTTTTGAGAAGGTGGGGTTTTTCTATGCTGATTGTGAGTTCTTGGCACATGCTAACCTCTCATTTAAGTTTGACATTTAATCTCTACAAGATGATGACAGAGGAAAGGTCAAGTGCAGATGCTCTGATATATCTTTTCTACTGGCTCAACTTTCCCCTTTTTGGCTCTCAGCATCAATAGGGTGAATTTGGTCAGTGTTCAAAGGGCCACCAATGCATCTGAACAGCTTAGCAGGGAGAGCTCATAAGCTGGTGAGAAAGCAGTTCTGGTAGGTGAAATACTGTGAAAGATAAGATGTAATTTTGCAAGTAATTAATATATTTCATTTTCATAAAACAACCCTTAGTTTCATATCCACTGGCACCTCCATGTTTATCAAGAAAAAAAGATGTCTATATCCATATTAATCACACAGTGCTAGTTACTGTTAATTAGTAATTACTCTCAAGCTTGCTTCTTGCAATAGATTAATCTATTCAGTTTTACTGAACAGCCAAAATAGAAGAGAGAATGCTGTCTCCAAAAGCTGGCAATACTGACTCAATATCACAGTAAAAACATTTATTTCAGGACTACATTAACCAGATAATTATTTACAGCCTCCAACTGCAAACCTTATGAAAGCAACAGCCACCTTCAGTGAGAAATTCTAGGAACAAAACCCTAAAAAAGGCCAGGTCTAAACCAATGCTCTGTCATGCTACAGACGGGAAGGAAATTGTGCAAGAAGTGGTGCTGAACGAATAATGCTCATGGGTTTAAATCTGCTCCAGTCTAATGTTGCAAGTACTCAGTAAAGCTAGTATTTCACATTGACTACGCTGGGGTTTACAGCCAGTCATGCATTAACATAGTGAAATCAATCAAATGAATTGCAGTACCTTCTGCAGATGGTAAGAGTTAGGCTGGTGGTTAGGTAGAAATTTGTGTAATTCAGAATGATGCACACTGCAACGTGAAGGAGGAGCATGTTCTTATTGCTGTAATGCTGCATGAAACAAAGTTTTGAAACCTTTTAGTTAAAAGTTAAGAAGGAAGCACTGTTAACACTGACCAGGAAGCTCTGCCTAGCTGACACACTACTCCGCAGGGCTCTTGTCTGATCTAAATAAAGAGGGTTAGACAGGATTAACTTTTTTTGTTCACAGTAAGGCCAGGAATATACCTTTACCTATTTGATTTTTTTTTCCCCACTTCTGGAGTAAGATTTGTAACAATGGTATTTGAAAAGCCATGGAGTTCATTTCTCCTCTAGCTTTTCCATTTATGAGCACCAAATCACCTTTAAATCTTTTTCTAATAACCTGAATTGAAGTGACAACATCTTGCGTAGTAGATAAGAAAAAAAAAAAAAAAAAAGGCAAGAACTATAAACATCTGTTTCCTTCTTTTTTGCTTTTTGGTGTAGCTCATTATATCCAAACTGAAGCATTTTCAATCATACTAGAAAACAGCCCCCTCTTGTGATGGAACAGTGGTTTGTGTAACGTGCATACCAGATGATGAAGTAACAGGGAAAATCCAACAGAGATGAAATGAGAGCAAAACTAGTAACCAAGAAAAAAATCCATTATCTTAGTCTCAAAATTGCTCATTTTGCATGGTTTTATTCATAACTGTCCTGTGACATATTTCTGTTTAAAGATTTCAAAGTTCTGCTCTCCTTAGTAAAAGCAGTAAATAGTTGCCCTGTTGAAATATTCCTTTTCACTTCTTTTCACCTCTTCTGTTTTATTTGTCTCTTTGAAGTACAGTAATCCAGAGAGCAGTTCTCTGCTGTAATTTCGTTTGCTTCCACATCTATACTAATTCTTTTGCTTCACTCATGCATGCTTTATTTTCTTAATGTTTGATCATAAGCTTTCTGGGGGAAGGATTGTTTTACTGCATGCTTATACAATGCCCTCACCAGTGAGGATCTGAATTAGTCATTCTATGACCTGTTCACCACCACCATTTTCATCTTACTTCTGCTATATTGACATCAGGACTTGAAGAGCTTTGTGGTCAGCAAAACAATAAATTCATCCAGCTGGAAACTAACCTGTCCCTCCCTCCTCCCTCCCCCAGAAAAGGAGGGGAAAAAAATCGAACTATGAATATGCGAAACAAATGATGGGAGCCTTAGTCACAACCCACTTCCTTCCATTTCTTATCTGCTGCCAAGATGATCATGCCCAGTGGCATGATACCTTGCACAGACTTCTAAAAATAACCACTTTGTCTTGTACTTTTCTCATGTCATTGCTGAGCTATTCACTTCCATGAAAAAAAAAAAATCATTTGCTCTGTTTTAGGGCTCAGCTAGATGGTTATTTTTTTTTCTCCCTGTTTCTAGATTCATGTGAACTTTAAGACTTTGTTGTGTCACATGTATGTGTTCCTTACATATGTCATATTGTAACGAACCTCCGCGTTTATGTCTGCCTGAGAGAGACAGGCGGTTCCCCTAAAGTTAGCAATAACAAGTGTTTAAAATTTTAAATACTTAACGCTGATGACTAACAACATAAACTTCATAGAACATTAGATGACTGTGCTATTGTTTGCTCTGTGTAAAACTCCAGCTGTGTTACTAACTTCCACAGGATGAGCTGACCCGCATCATATATGTCTGCTTAACTGACTTAGACTCTTCTTAACAGTATTGAACTTGTTATAAACCCCAGATTTGTGGCTTGTTATTTGAAGTGAACAGAGGTTTCTTATGTCACATGTTAAACACATCACTGAGCCACAAAATAAACCACACCCTGCAATACCATACTTTCACTGTTGGAACACATTACTATTCCACTGACTGAATTAAGTTCTCACTGTCACAGCAAAATATGACTGTTTCATAGTTAAGTCAAGTGACTTTATGTTTCCTTTCTTTGAGTTCCACCTGCTAAGTTTCATTTTGAATTTCCCGTACTGGAGGCACTCCAAACCCCACCAATCCAGGACTTCAGCTTCGTGTTTTATACAACACTTAAAACCGCATTATTTCATGTGGTTTCCACACCAAGTTATAAAGACTTCTCCTAGAACAGTTCAAAATTAAGAGTAGTATTACAAGAAATCCTATGGCCCTCATCTGTGGGAACAGAGGAGGTTTCCATCCTTTCAGCCAAGGAAGGCCAAAAGGTTCTTGCTGCAAAATCACTGGTTTGGATGTCTACACCCCATTGGTGCCACTGCTTCGGAGTTGCAAGCAGCCATTGCCAACAGTCTAGTGGCTGTTCCGAGTGACTTACACACAGATTAAAAAAAAAAGAAATTGTTGTCACAGGACCTACTTCTCTTTTACACCAAAAAGCAGAACAGAGTACATCTGTAACTTAAGGCTAAGTAAGAACATTGTGACTTGATGACAAAGTCAGTAAGGGGAAGCCCCAAAGGGTTTCACTGATGGCAGGAGAATCACATGATCCCATCCTTAAATTGGGCTAGGTTTTATTTATGGCTCTGTACTTTATAACACATTAGTTCATGCTTTAATGTAGTAGCAGTTGCAAGCAAGTTGATCTTGGACTACAGGTAATCCTAGACCTAGCTAAAGTTTCAGGCTACATAAAAGGAGCAATTAAGTCTCTTTACGGAAATGGCTGAAGCAACTGCCCAAGGCCGTTAGTTGTAGAGTAGAGTTGGACTAGAATTAAACCATACACCCTGAGAGGTTTACATATAACTAGTGTAAAGATAGGGAGCATGGGGACTGTTTCACAAACTGAATCTTGGAAAGAGAAGACAGCTAGAATATCAGCAGACAGCAAGAAAACCACCTATGAGGCTTGTCCTGAAGAGCTAGGTGGACAAACCTGTAAAGGAAAAGGAATTGCTTGAAAGGGAGACTTAGAAACCATGCAAAATTTCCAGTGCTTGCTTGTTTCTACTCTGAACTGGAAAACAAGGATGTGCTTTGCAGTTTTGTAACTAAGTGTCTTGCATCAGCCCTCATTTGTGTAGTAAATTTTCCCAACCAAGACAGCTAAGGCTTCAAATACTAAATAATTGCTCTGTGGCAATAACTCAGATTGTTTCAATAATTTCAAAATTTTTTTTTTCCCCTCTCACAGGTATCTCAGCTGAATTCATAACTCCCATGTTTAATTTTTATAAAAGCATTGGAGAGCTGAAGATGACACAGGAAGAATACGCGCTGCTCACAGCCATAGTTATCTTGTCTCCAGGTAACTTCTCATCCAGAATTAAATATTAGTGGTTTGGGAAAGACAGCAAGAAGAGCGTGACCTGAGACTTGTAAAAAATTACATTCTACATAGCATAAGTGATCATACATGCTTATTCAGTATATTCAGTTGTTAAACCAGAAAATAAGCACACAAATCCAAGCTCCAGATGTCCTGCTACACCATCTTGTTTTGCATAGAAGGAAAAAAGGTGCCTAAGTGCCATGCTTAAAGAAAATACTGGTATCTCTTCATTGCATACCCTGACAGGCCTCTTCCTTCAGAAAATCCCAGATGTGGTTACATGCACATCACTACAGACCATTGTGGAATGTCACCATTTTTTAGAGGGAAATTGGGAAACTATGTAACTTAGAATAGAGAAGAGCAATGAAGGTCTTCAGCCCTTATCAAACAAACACTAGGTATCAAGAGCAGGACAGTAGCAAGTTGGCCTCTCAACCATAAAGTGTTGGAAACTGACCTTTCAGAAGTGTCAGCACAGCAGCATCTCAGCCCTGATTACAGGCTTTGCTGTAAAAACTAGCTCTTTGACAACACAAAACTAACCAGCTCTACCTATGAAACATGGAGGGATTGTACAGTGACTCAAACAAATTGACTGCCACAGGAATGGGAGAAGCCGATGCTTCAGGACAAAAGACAGACACTGAGGTTTCCAAATCAGGTTTCATGGAAGATGGGAAGGTGAAGCAATTCCATTGCTCTTTGAGTCAGTGTGGCTCAGGAAATTTTTTTTCATCAAGAATTTCAGTTCCTCCCTCTCCAAATACCCCAACACACGCATATCAGCAAATTAAAAGAACATTTTCTAATAAAGAAGTTTCACCAGAGGAAGAAAATGTTTGATTCTTCCCGGTGACCAGCATGTACACTCTTCTCTACTGGCCAAATTCCCCAGCTGTATTACATCTCCAACAACTTATGCCATGCTGCTCAGTTGCTGCAATGCATTTCAGGACGTACTCAGGTGCAGAACTGCACTGGGAGATGACGATTCAACCCCAAAGAAACATTTCCGAGTTAAAACTCTTCAGTTTTTGACAAAGTTGAAAGTGGTCCCTAGTTAGAAGTGGGAAGCTTATGTGAAAACCCAAACCAAAAAACCAATCTTAACTATTTTTATTCCCTCTTAATCTGAATATAAATATTCTGTGTGAATATCGGTGTGTGAATTACCCAGTGTAAATACAGGAACATTTTTATATTCATTTACCAGTGTAAATATTTATCTTGTATCAGAGCATGTATTTGCTGATTACGTCTTTCCTTTTAAAACCATAACCAGATCGACAATACATAAGGGACAGGGAGTCCGTGGAAAGGCTTCAAGAACCGCTGCTGGATATACTACAGAAATTCTGCAAACTTCACCACCCAGATAACCCTCAACACTTTGCTTGTCTTCTGGGCCGTCTGACAGAATTACGGACATTTAACCATCATCACGCAGAGATGCTGATGTCATGGAGAGTGAATGATCAAAAATTCACACCTCTGCTCTGTGAGATCTGGGATGTGCAGTGATGGATACTTTTATTTTAGGAGAAGTATCTTTTTAAAGGACCACATAGCATTTATTTTCATAGAAAGATATCCCACCATACATTAAGTTTTCTTTATGCATTTTTATAGAAACATGCCATGGATTCATAAAAGTAATTTTGTTCACTGTACACAGAATACTGCATAGCTTTCAGATCTTCATACGTAAGCACAACTTTCTCTGTATTTATATTCTCTGATCAGAAAGAGTCCACCTGCTCTTCAGAGGAACCTTCTGCTGCAATTAAGCTGATTGCAGTTACAGTTCCTCTTGATGAATGGGGATAGCAGGTTTCCATTCATATTTTTTCATTGCAGTGTTTTTGTGCTTGGCCTCCACTATATTCCAGATACTTACTTAATAAACCACCTGAAATGGTTAATGCCAGTGATTTGCTATTCAACTGTGAAATGTGTTCACATAAGATGTACCAGACGTTATTTCTTCATAAGAAGGAAAATGACGTAATGGAGAAAAGCCACAGACACACACAAAGAAACCCCGAACAACCTTTTCATAATATAAACGTGTAACTTCATTTGAATTATTATTTCAAAGTAAAAATTATACAGTATCTAAACTTTGTTAAAGTGCATAACAGGTTATTTTGCTTTAAGACTTTGATTGTTGGTGATTAGTGGCTCTGAACAATACTGTCATCAACATCCCTAAACCAGGTAAGTGGTCTGAGTGCCGCGTGAGGCTGCAGACAGGATGGGTGGTTTCCTTGTGCCTGGGTCCGCTCCCAGAAACCCAGATGGCTGGCATACTGATGTGACCGTGCTCTCCTCCAAACGGTGGCCTTGCGCTGCCGGCAGTGCGAGCTGCACAGTAAGGCGTTGGGCGCAGAAACAGCTCTTCGTCCTGCTGCCAAAAGGGCTCTCTGGATGCAAGCTCCCCCGCGGGCCGGCGCTTCCCCCGACCGCTGCGCACCTAGCACCCTGC